GAGGAACAGGCAGCTGACCTTTGTGATTTCCGGGCTCGCCGTGTGGCGCGCCCCAGCATCGTTGCCACACCTCTCAGGACCCGCGACCAAGTCAGGTGACACGAGTCCGCGCCGGTCCGAAGCGCGCCCTCCGCTGCTCCAGCATCGCCGCCACACCTCCCGGGACCCGGGACCATGTCAGGTGACACGAGTCCGCGCCGGTCGGACGCACACCCTCTGCTGCTCCAGCATCGCTGCCACACCTCCCGGGACGCGGGACCAAGTCAGGTGACACGAGTCCGCGCCGGTCGGGTGCGCACCCTCCGCTGTTCCAGCATCGCTGCCACACCTCCCGGGACCCGGGACCACGTCAGGTGACACGAGTCCGCGCCGGTCGGACGCACACCTTCTGCTGCTCCAGCATCGCTGCCGACACCTCCCGGGACGCGGGACCAAGTCAGGTGACACGAGTCCGCGCCGGTCCGACGCGCACCCTCCGCCACTCAAGCATCGCTGCCACACCTCCCGGGACGCGGGACCAAGTCAGGTGACACGAGTCCGCGCCGGTCCGACGCTCGTCGGAGGATGTTCCGTGTTCATTTCTTCCTGACCGGTTGCTCTAGTCGGCAGACGATGCGCCAGCACAGCGCACTGATGCACGATACGGTGAGCAGTGCATAGTGAACTGGTCTGTTGTCCGTCCACACGGAGCGACGTCTGACGCACGACCGACAGCCAGGCCTCAGGGAACTGCCCGGGTCGCCCCGTATGGAGGGCATCAAGCACAGACCCAGCACCCGGGCCGGAGTGTCACTTTCTGAAATCGATTAGGCTGGCTTACCCGATAAAGTTGACTTATGTTACCACAGAAACCCGCTTTCTCCCAGAATTTCGCCCTTTTTGATTTGCACCCTAGTGCCAAATTTACAAAAACATATATTTGCTTGACTTTAAAAACCCTTTCTTGCTGAAAAATGATTTCCTATTGCAAACCGATGTCAAACTGTATTTTGTGGAAAGTTTACAATGATGTGCCACTCACAGAAAAAAATATCACTTAATCAGCCGATTGTGTTCAACAAACAAACGGATCTTTGTGCTGTTCATCAAAGGTGACTCGAAGCGTAAAAAATGGTTGTTTTACTGAATGGCGCAGTCTGATGCGTACAGACAAGAGGTGTTTTACTGAATGGCAAGTGTGTGCTGCCAGGATATACCTATATAAAAGTGAATGCTAACTGACGCGACTTCTCAACAGGCATGCCGATAACTGGAGGGACCGGATCACCAGTGTGGTCGTGTTAAAAATAGCGCGACCAACGCTTCGACGCGTGTCTGGTACGCATCTGAGAAAGTTTAGGCACGCAGGGCAGGCCTTGATCTCTGGGGATGAAAATAATTGGCCTGGATGAGGTAGTTCAATGACGTTATCAGGAAAGCATTGGTTATATTCAGAAAGCTTAGCGTTTGGCAGTTGTGGTCATGGTCAGGTTTCTTCGCATAACTTGACCAACGCTACCCGGACATCTCTCTTACCATGGAGCATACCATACAAAATGGATTAATTCCATTTCTCGACACCTTTTTTGTAAATCCAGGAGGCAGATATAGCCCAACTGTACTTTAAAACCGTCCCGCCCCAAAATGCCCCACAACTTCTCCCAATAGCTAAGTTGTGTTAGAGTGTCCGCCCTCCGACTCACCGGCCAAAGTGTGGTAGGTTCGAGTCGCTTTTGGCGCACGTTTTCTGTTCCTGACTGGGCTAGTCTGCGGCCAGTGGCAGCGGCCGTACTAACGGTCAGGTGGCGTCAGCGGGCAGGACTGGCTGTGCCGAACACTGCGGTTTGTCTGGCTTTCACCGCCAAGTCCTGCTCGTGGTCCGGAGTTTCGCGATATGATGGTGGGAGTCAGGGCTCACACAACATGCACTACATAGCGCTGGCGCTCATCATGATAATACATCTAATCAAATTGCTCGGGTTGAATCTAAACCAAAGCACTGGGTGAGTTCTCCCGATCGCGTCGAAAGTTCTCGGTTTAAGAAAACAAAAATGTCAGGCTCGCAAAGAAGTCTTAGGTAGGTAAAACAAAAAGACTGTATATATGTGAAACTACTGTCTATACACCCATGGCTTATGAACCAACGTTTTACTCAACAATGTCCAATGTATTTCTTACACGATCGATACTACGATGACATTGGATTAATGCATAACATCCAATGGCAAAACGTGATAAAAAACAATGGCAGTCATCATTGATCTCGCATCGGCGAAATGGAGGCTCTGAAGAAGACGCGTCTGTGAAAACGACAAAGATCACGTCAACACCACCTCAGAGCGCTATATTGCCGCCGCTCTGACACGCTTCTGAGCGGCCCTGGGCGACCTCACGGGATCGGTCGCTACCAGGAGTGGCTCCAGCAGGACGCGACGACGCTGATTCACCGCACGTGTGCCGGGTGGCCCGACCGTGTTTGCTGGATTAATTGGAGGAGAGGATTTTTTTCTGGAATGACCATGAGTTTAGGATTTGGAATGGTATGGTATGGTATGGTATGGTATGGTATGGTATGGTATGGTATGGTATGGTATGGTATGGTATGGTATGGTACGGTACCTTGGTATGGCTTCTCACCCGCCCGGCCTGGCGCTCACGGGCTGTATGCTGCGGGGTAATCTCAGGAACCACGTTCACATAAACAAGCCAGCGGACCTTGAAGAGGTCAAGGTCGCCTTTAGACTCGAGTTGGGACGCATCACCGCCAACAACATCGACCGGGCAATCGACCATCTGCGGCAGGTTCAGCTGTTGCACGTCCTGAATCATCAGGAGACCCATCTGGGATATCCTTCGTAGCCCCGATTTGATGGATGTGGAAATCTCTGATGACTACCGCCGCCCGTGTTTTGTAATTGAATTGGCGATCGAATGCCAACATAGTCACGATTGTGCGACAAATACGCTTGTCGCCGTTGAGCCAAACGTTTTCATAGCTGTTATCTGGGTGACCCACTCTCGGTGCATACTGCATTCCACTTTTTGTTGCCCCGATCCACCGTCTTATTTGGCGAAAAACTTTCAACATTTGCAGCCTGGTCCAACAGAGTTGACCAGGCTGCAAGAGAAGAGTTGACACTCAAGAACATGAGTTGACATTCAAGAACATGAGGTACCTAAACGATATTATTGGATGCAAAATTAAAAGGACAATAATAGGAATTTGTTTATGTATCTACAGTGAACCCACAGTTAAGTTAACTTTGCTACATTTCTTGTTCCCAGCATCCCCTTCATCTCGTATGCATTGGGATGGGTGGGTCAAGTCAGCATTAGGGGGGGGGGGGGGCGGAAGTGTCTCATGTAGTGCCCATGACCCTGGGTCAGATTCAGAGATTTTCTGACCCAGGCGTGATTTAAATGTAATGAAGGGTTCTCGGAGACGCTCAGCGATTTTTAACTGCCAGTGCAGAGGTAGGTGCGTGAAGGGAACGGAGCCTACCAAGACAGTTTTACAATTTCACTTTTTAGGACAAGAAGGGAAGAGCAGCAGCTTTTCGGAGTCAGTGGCAGCAGGTAATTCTGAAAGGCAGCTATTCGACCTTGTGAAATGCCAAGGAATTCATCAGTGTTACCTTTATTGTTTGTTTCCGGTTCGTGTATCTGTGAGGTAAAACGCTATCATAAAACACTGCTAACACAGCCCCGTTGACTAAAACACTGTCATAATCAACAAAGTCACAAATACCCACCCATTGCCCTCAAGACCAATGTCAAGGCCAACTCTTTGCCGAATGACATGCGGCATAGAGAAAATTCTTAGCAAGCATGAAGATACTACATGATTCAGGCAAGTATGCCGCAACTTCCAATTTGCATACTAAGAAAATGTACTTCACAGCACAGAATGCGTTAAGAATGAGTACCGCCGAGAGAGGGGCAGTGCCACAAAATTCTCGTCACGTTTTGCTTCGCAGGGAATTCAAGCTTCGGTGATTATCTACTAATTCTTTTCCCGGTGCCGACAACTGGTCTTCAATTGAGTTCAGAAGTTGTGGAGAAAGCCGTTAAAAGTCACTGTTCCCGCAGTGCTTCAGTAATTTCTTCTTGCCATTGATGTATATCACTTCTATAGGGTATTTGGTGCATTATTAAAAATTCAATAGGACCCAAAAGCGAACGCTAGCTGGCAGCGGACGCGTGGTCTTAAGACTGGGGGCCTTTGCAAATCAGTCAGCTGACACACAAGGCTGCTGGAACCGGCTTCCATACTCTCTGGTGAGGTCTGGATGCATGTTGGAGTATATAGATGCGATGCAAGGGTAAAACTTGATCAAGTTTACATCATGTCAAATTATGGGCGCACGAGTACATGTAATGTTAACCAACTGGCAAAAATGGACTAAACATCTGTATGCGATATGTGTGCTACATGTGCAATATGTGTTGTTACCGTCACGCTCATGTTTCTACGTATGTCTAGAATCATGAATTTAGCCATGCCTAGCAAGACGTAATTGATGCATGTCTTAACAAGCAAACTGCAGACCAGTGACCAAACCACAAGGAATACACAAAACAGTCATCAATAGAACATCATCAACAGAACCTCACAGAACATCGCTTGCTTCTGTGACCTCGGCCACCACCTGCTCGTCTCCCATCCACCGGCCGCTTGTGTGGGACCACTAGCTGCTCGACTCTCACCCACCGGCCGCTCGTGTGGGGCCACCAGCTGCTCGACTCTCACCCACCGGCCGCTCGTGTGGAGCCACCAGCTGCTCGTCTCCCATCCACCAGCTGCTCGTCTCCCACCCACCAGCCGCTCGTCTCCCATCCACCGGCCGCTCGTGTGTGGCCACCAGCTGCTCGTCTCCCACCCACCAGCTGCTCATCTCCCACCCACCAGCTGCTCGTCTCCCACCCACCAGCTGCTCATCTCCCACCCACCAGCTGCTCGTCTGCCACCCACCAGCTGCTCCTGCTCGTCTCCCACCCACCAGCCTGCTCGTCTCCCAGCGATGCCGTCCGAGTGCGGTCCGTGGCTCTCGTGCGACTTCCACCAGTACAGGTCGTGGGTGCGCCGCGCGCCGGACACAGGCGCCGCCAGACACGCCGCCGGACAAACAGCGCCAGAAGGCCAAAAAGTAGGTCTGCGGGTCGCCGCTGCCGTCGCCGCCGGCAGGACGCGCAGAGGCCAGGTCGCACTCTGTGTCGGGCACGGCGCCCGCGCGTGGCGGCGGCCCAGCCAGTCGGGCGGGGCCGCATAGAGAGGCACGTCCGAGTACTAAAACTAGACTGACTTTTTAGCGCAAGCGGGTTATATGGTGTATTAATCACAGTCTAGCATTGATAGGAGAGGGGGG